TTCAATGGTGGGCTGGAGCTTGCAATTGAAATGAAAAAATTGATTACATTTTGACATACCCTGATTGGGGCAAAACCAGGTTATAGTTTGCTTGTTGTTACTGAAAATATTGAAGAAGACCAGAGGGCTCATGTTTCGATTCCCTTAATAAAGGTGGCATGGTTAATACTCAAGATTGTAAGATGAGCAGCATTTTCTGTCAAGTGACAAAATTATATAAACAGTAATTCGGTGCCTTTATTCATCACTAATTAACAGCTGATGATTCACGTGAGTTGCCTGCACCTCAGGAATGTGGGCTGGCAGAAGTCACGCATGATATGGCCAAAGGATTTAAATGTATAGCACTCAGAGGTGTGGCTGTGTTGTCCTTGTGACATCAAAGCAGCAAGATTAGTCTGTCATCTGTTCTCAGTAAGGTTACAGTTTGACAGATCATTGAAGCAGCTCAGAGTCCAGTGTCTATTATTACAGTAAGTCTTTGACTTTTATTAGGCCTGGATGCCCTGTATGTTCTGTATGTTCAATTAGACTTCAACAGGATTGACTGCAGTGGGCAACATAGTACCACAATTGTCTTCGATGACGTGTTCTTCTGTAGGATTATTTTCATGACACCTGCTTTAAAGGAAGTCAGTTGAGGAACTTTCACTGTGGTGTGGAGGGCTATCTTGTTGGGGGTACAACTATTGTCTTTCAGAGCACAAAGCCAAGGATGTGGCAGAGGTTTCCTAACCATTGCTACAATAATGATTGTCTGCAAGTTTGTGCCAATACTTGCTGGTCAATAGCATCTCTAAAGCCAGCAGTTACAGTATATCATTCTCCAACTCTCAACTGGCAACCCATTGAAGCTAAGCAGGTGCTGGAAGTGGTGTTAGTGGAACCAGAAGGGAGCACTAACCCTGGGGTCTGTGTGAGTCCCAACGCCCCAGTACAGTGACAGGTACACTATACTATAAAGATGTGCACTATACTAAAAAAAAGGTGCCGTCCTTTGGATGAAATGTAAAACTGAAATGTAAAAAGCCCCTGACTCTCTGTGGTTATTAAAAAATCTGAGGGTGTTTCTCGAAAAGAGTAGGGGTGTTACCCCTAGTATCCTGCTATTTCCCATATGCCTTTACCAATCATGGCCTCCTAATAATCCCCTTCTATGAACTGGCTTCATCACTCTGCTCTCCTTCCCACTGATAGCTAATGTGTGGTGAGGGTACTGGCGCAATATGGCTGCTGTCGCATGATCATGGTGGATGCTGCACATTGGTGGTGGTGGAGGGGAGTCCCCATTACCTGTAAAGCGCTTTGAGTGGAGTGTCCAGAAAAGTGCTGAATAAGTGTTAGGAATTATTCATTAGTTTTATCACGCTCCGGCCTAATGCCTGACTACACACTAGAATGCTCTCTCCTACGCATTCCTGGTGTATTGAAGTGGCATGATATTGCTTAAGGTCTACAGATTAGGTAGACAAATTAAGTAGGTAAAAAAATGATTACTTTTTTTGTGGGTTAGTAGAATTTCTAGGTGTTATATTGAAAACTAGAACAAAACAAATTCCATGCTGTGGCAAATGTATTTGGGCATTTATAGCTGCTAATGAAAGAAATGCCTGCTGTTTAACAGACTAAATACATAAAATAAAAAGGGAATGTAATAAATAAATGGAGAAACCACCAGATAAAAAAGCATTATGTAGCTATTATTAACAAACTGTATACTACTGTAAAAGACTTGGCACTGGAAAATATGATTAAATATCTGGGTGAACAATGGTATTCTAACAAGACACATGAAACCCCACACAAACGTTTTGTGTATACAGCCTAGGACATATCTCTGAATACGTGAGAAAATGTGATCAATACTTTTACCATGATTTATCGCTAGAGGAATATAAAATAGTACGTTTTCACCAGGGAAACTTTTTGTGGAAAAGAAGAATTTTAAATTCCATGTGCCCATTGTTAAACACAGAGGAAGGCTATGTCGGCACATTTCTTAGGTGCTAAGGACTTCTGCAGATTTGTGAGAACCAGTGCTGTAAAGGTTACTGGATGGAAGGTTGTATTCCATAGTAATGAAGCAGTCTCAGTCACTGGAATACAATCCCACTGGGATGTTAATGACTTCAAGACTGCTGTGAAGGAAAAGGAAAGAAAATATTACAGAACTTAAAACTGTACATGTTGAAGGAAGTCCAAACATCTTAGAAAATATAAAGTATTAAAGAACACACATACTTCCATCAGTGTCACGAATTAACTTTTAATGTTTTTCATGTTGTGCACCATATGTGAAATTGCTGCTTTATTATGAAGCTGGATATCTATTTTAGGTTTCTTACTCACAGAATTGCAATTTGTGGACATTGTTTCTCTTAGTATTTTTGTAACTTCCCAGATAATTGTGAGCACACCTGTAAATCCCCAATTTAGGTTGACAGGGGTCCTCCAGTACAGTCACTAACCAGGGTTATGTCATGCAGTGCTAGACATCTTGCACAGCGTTAGAAATGTGAGGAACCTTCACGGCCAGCACTGGAAGACACACCAGTTAGTAATATATACCTGGAGATTGGAGAGATGGCAGTGCTTAACACCACACACTCCACTGAAGTGCTTCAGCACCACTAAAAAGATTTAGGTGAGCATTTTAGAGCTTGGAGTATACATTTTGTATCACATATATTGCTTTCAAAATGCACTCATGGAAATTGCTCAGCAATTTGTTCCGAGATAGATATTATGCATAAACACAGACACCCAGATGTATGTAATAATTCCTTTCATTTTTAGCCCACATGCAGTACCTACCTGGGTGGTATGAGCCTGTCTTTCTGCACCAACAGTCCCACTACACATAGAAGATCTGGGTGAGGAGTGAGAAAGTGCTTCAATTTAATTAAGAGGGAACGGATTGGGGAGGGTAGATTGCACAAGCCCATAGTGGAATTTATTCAAAACACTGGCCTATCTCTTAAAGACATTGGATCTTTTACAGCCATGTAGTCAGTATCTCAGTTGAATGTCCCTAGTCACATGCTGTAGCATTGTTTTGGAGTATCTGGTACAGAGAGAGGATCTCCACCTTCTGGTCTAACAATACCACTTGGGGCAGCAAGCGATTTTCCTTAGAGAAAACCCCTTCCCCTTCTGAGCCAGCCCAGTCTTGCTCGGCTCCTCAGGTTGGGTGGTTCAGTATTCACACGAAGCGCAAAACACATGAATTGTGCAGATGTCAAGGAACTCTTTACATCCATGCTTCTTCTACCTAAGCATACAGTAGATGTGAAAGGTGAGTGATACCATTTTTTCATACGAGGAAAGGTTTGTGAATTACGAGTTCTATTTTAAAGAGGAAAAACACATAATAAGAAAAATAAACTTGATTTTATACAGCCTTTAACGGTGGCTTCTCAAAGCACTCTACAGTGAGGGGAGAAAAACAATGAGGAGACAGCAGAATGACACACAATTTCATTTAGTACTTGAATTAAAAGACTAAACTGCAAATATTATAAACAAAAGCTTTTCACATTAAGTGAAAGAGGATGGTGAAGTCAGAATAATTAGAACCTGCACACAGAAAAGGTAGAGTAGAGTATCTCAGGAAAGGAAATGGGTACACTGCAGTATCACAACATATTTTGGCACCTCACAGGACACTGGTCAAGCACTAAAAGAGTAAAATACAAGACCCTCTTCCAGCTCCTCCATGAGGTGGAGCATCTTGGGGTGAGCCATTTGGTCTGACCTCATTAGTAGGTTTAGCCACCATCCATCCAACTATTCTCTACCTCCTTCTTTCAGTTCAGGGCCACAGGGGAGCAACTGGTGTAAGGTGGGGGTACACCCTGGACAGGGCTCCCGTTCATTACAGGGCAAACAGACACCGGAGCAGCTGGACGAACATCCCACCAACATGGGAACACACAGACTCCACACAGATAGCACCCCAGGTCCAGAATTGAACCCAGGGCTGCAAGACAGCAATGCTAATCACTGTGCCACCATGCTGTCCTGCTTTAGTCACTAGATCTCTGAAAAATAGATCTGGTGAAAGAAACGCTTAATTCTCTTTCAACACAGTCCAGAGTCTTACCTGAAACATCCTGTAACAGAAGTGTGTAATCATTTAATTTTTGGGGTACATCCCAATAATTCTAGGCACTTTTCAACATAAATACCTTATGTTATACCTTACCTACAACAAAACTTTTTTAGCATTTAGTCTTAATGTGTACACTACAATTTAACGTAATTTGAATACCGTATCAGAGAAAACAGACTGGGTCATTTATAAGTATTATTAATTAAAACGCTGATACGTTCTCTCAGTGTCCTTATCACAATTAATTTTCTCGTTCGGAAGATATTAAAAAACGCGATTTTTTAAACAAAACCCATATAAGTGACACTAAGACTACGTGTTTAGGGAACAAGCATATCATTGCAACACAGGGATAATGATCACCGTCTCCACCACGCAGGTCGTGAAAAAAATCGTTACAAAAATTCGTTAAAAAAATACCACCCCCTACAGTGAAACATGAGCGTTGTACAAAAAAAACAGGTTTGCAAGATTCTTTCGTTAAATCCTCCACGTATAGAAGAAAATCGGTTCTTCCACAAGACGCCACTAGAGATTGCTAGAGAGTTAATATTGCAATACTGTTCCAGAGCTGAATATAGTTCGTCTCGCACAAAAGCAATTTTGTATTTTTCTGAAGATTTCTATACCACAGGTCACGCCATACAAAGTTTATTTTTTAAAAAATAATAAGCAACTCGCCAGTCTTCCTGTGCATTTTGTATTTCCAATCTGTAAAACCATATCAGAAGTAACTATGCTACAATACGTCTCCGTGCCATTTTCTAGAAGAAAATGGTTGGGATGAGTCATTTTTAAAGAGAAAATCTTGCGGCTGTGCTTTTTCTGTTTCCTCGGAAAGGTTACGATCAATGATCAAGTCGACAAGTGACACGACGTTTTAATGTGACATTTAATGTTCTGCTTCGTATAATTGGCTGGTACAGTTACAATTTGTTACAGTTTGACCTACTAGCACAGACTTTACTGTTTTCCGTGGCTTTACCAATAAAAAAAAATATTTAAAGAACGAAAACATGTTTCACCCGAACTGTTAAATGGATCGAGTGCTATAATAAGAATATCTTATATAATTAATTGGGAACTCAAAATATAGTGTAAGTGGTAAATAGAATATGGGTAAAAAGTTTGATGATTAGGATAAAACCTGAATCTCTTATTTGTGCCATTTAAACCACTGCTAATGTGTCGAAATAGAACAGTTTGCCCCATGTTCTATTCAAGTTTTTAAAGTGTCATCTTCTGTTCATTCTCCAAAATGTATTAATAATATTGCAGGGCCAATTAAGGAAAAACAACACCTGACAGACTCCAGTTTATCTAAAAGCTACGTAGCTCCTGATCAATCCCCTTTGCACCGATGAAAGATGCCATCCAAGAGCGACGTCCCCGTCATGGGTAACACAAGCGGGTGACTTCGGCTGCAGGTGAGTTGCAGGTGAGTCGTAGCGCGTCGTGCAGCCGCTGGGCTCCGAGATCCTCCGGTCAGACCCCCTCCTCTTCTCCGGCGCCTCACCTGGAAAGCTCAATCAGAGGTGCTCGCTGCATTCGGGCTCCAGCACCTCCGGACTTGTGGGGGAGTCAGCATCGGAGGTTGCCCCTCAGCTCCACATTCTCTGCCTCACGGTAAACAAACCTCCGCATCTAGGAGGCTCCAAGCTCGGACGACTTTGCGGCGAAGCTCAGATGTTGCCAGCGGCCGGCAAGATTAAATGAAGCGGACGGGAAACCCTGAATTCAAGCGCCATCCCCCCCCCCCTGCGGGTCCGGCAGCGGTGGTTCGCTCCCCTCACAGGCTGTCAGTCGCCGAGTGAAGATGGCGGAGTCGTCCGGGATGCGGTCTAGCAGCTTTTTAAACTTCCAGTTTTAGGACAATTCTTTACCCCGGCGAATTCCCACGGGAGCCTTTTTTAAACACGTCAACTGGTAAGTTGCATATCTAAAAGACGGTGGTTTTTGTTTTGGTATAGATGGCTGAGAAATTGTCATCAGTTCTGCAGCGGTACTCGACTTGCAATGTGGCCTGCGAACTGATTTATTTTTTTTTTTCGCATTGGGGGGGAAAGACCCCACAAACACACACTTGTGTTTTGTCGCCGCGAGGACTGGAAAAATGCTCACATCTCAGATTGGGGGTTTGGGAGCCGGGCCGGGCAGTGCCGGTTTTAGGCATCCGATTTTATTAAGGACGGTGCGTGCATTATGCAAAAGTTTTTATCCCTTCTTTTTTTGGTACAGTTTTGGTATTGAAACAATAACCCGTTCGGATCCGTGGGCACGGTCTGTTGCCCCCTCGCCGCTGGGTCTCTGGATGGGGAGCCCCGGCTGTAAAAGCGTGTCCGGACGCGTGCGTGGAGCGGATCCGTGGGGTTTGAAGCCCGTTTTCTGGCTGCCGGCTCTGCAGGAGTTGGGGGTGTCTGCTTAGGCGGGCAGCGGGGCAGGAGCAGAAGGCGAGGGGGCTGCTGAAAGCCAGCGGAGGTGCTGCGAGTAACTTCCCATGCGAGCAACCTGGTTATGATACCAGGTAGCTCATTGGAAACCACGACTGTTGCAAAGTCTTGGTTTGAAGGCTGGCAGGTTTTTTTTTTTTTGGTGGGGGGCGTCACAAAATCTGAACTGAGCGGTCAGCTGCCCGCTTGGGGAATTTGAATTCCTTCAGGGGGACTGCAGTCGGGTCCAGTTCATTCCCAGTCGTCCCGTTTAGCCTTTGCCCTTGTCAATCGTGCCCGACTCACATCCGTCATTACCTAAATGGTTCGGTTTTTCAATATTTAAAGCATCTTGGGCACGCAACCGCTTCTTTGTTTTTCCGTGGACAGATGTTTCTTTCCCAAAATGTCTCACCCGGCATCTCCGCGTTGCTTGGGGAACGTTATTGCTCAACTTTACCCGCACTCCCCCACAAACAAACGCGGCATTTCACCATTGCGACCAGCTGGTTCTGCTGACTTGTTTGTGCAACATATCAACGGGAAGTTTTTATTTATGCTGAATGGGGAAAAAATGGTCTATTATTTCTGCAGGCCTGGCTGAAATGTGTATAGTATTTAAACAAACAGTTTAAGCTGAAATGGGTGCTGCGTTCTGCTTAGTATTACTGGAGAGAGGAAAGTTTGGATTTCAGGAGGTCTCGGCTTCTCCCTTAGAAGACATTCACAAAAAGGTGGCTGTGTTGCTTAGTAAAACCACTGGATGTTTCAAGGCGAGGTTGTTACAAATTTATTAGGGGATACAAATATTAATTTAGAGTTAAGATAATCATTTAATTCACTGCAGTGCAAGGAGTGTGTATCTTTTTAAATCAATACTGGCGAACATTTTACTTTTGTCAGGCCATAATAGGAGGGATGTCGGTTCATGGTGACTGATCAGTGAGTGTGAGTTGTTTAAATAGGGAACAAATTACAATAATCCCACTGGCACAGTGGCACTCTGTTGACATGTAACACTGATGTTTTGCTCACTCGTATCTACATGTCAGTCTTAATCTGGGGTTAGTTGTTCAGCTTGTACTTAAGCAACCTGTCTGATACGCTGTAGTGATGCTTTCTCAGTTGGTGTGTCAACAGAGAACTGATGGGCCTGGGAGTGATTAGGCAATGGGGTGACACATTCATTCTGCAGCTGTTTCAAGGCCAGTCAGAGGGACATTCAAATTGCAGTAGCGAGTCCCTCAATCTCCAGATTTGCTCCTGTGTTTCCCTGTAAACCAGGTGTCTCCCTGATGTTGTGAAAGCCGTGTGGCTTTCTCTGTAGAAATTCTTAATACATTCCCCGTGTCAGAATATTTGTAATTTGGAATGCCATGAAAGGAATGTGTGGAGACATAATTGCATTCTTGCCTGTTATTTCTCCTTTTTTGAGCTGTGCAGACTCGCAGTATTCCACATTTAGTGGTAAACCCAATTAGCACTGTGGTGAATACCCAAGGAGACATCTTTGCTGAGAACATATTACTGATGTCTTAGATAACAGCTTTATAATTAAGAGTCTAGGCCTGTGGGTCCTTTACTTGAGGCAAGTGTTGTTGTGTAAGGGGAATTGATCTGTAATGGCCAGACAGTGCTACTGAAATTGCAGCAGGAGATGGTTTTGTTTTTCCTGTGGCACTTGGGAGAGGCACAGCATTAAAAGTCACAGAAACTTGCAGAATCTTTGCATGTGAGTTTATCAAATGCACAACAATACAGCGTACAGCAGTAGTTGCTGGCGATGAAATATCTTTTTTTTATCAATGTTAAATGTGCCTGTCAGTGAAGTCATTAATGGGAAGGTGATGACCCACTGTGTCACAATGCAGGTCAGATTATGGAAATCCTTATTCACCTTGCATCAGAACGTAAGCATCCCACTAGTGCTGTATCGGATCAAGTACCTGCTGGATCAGGTGGCAAGACAGCGTGCCATCATTACGTGTCTTTAAAAATCCCAGGGCACTTCTCGACAAGAGTAGGGGTGTAACCCCGGTGTCCTGGCCAAATTTCCAATTGGCCCTTACCAATCATGGCCTCCTAATAATCCCCATCTATGAATTGGCTACATTACTCTGCTCTCCTCCCCACTGATAGCTGATGAGTGGTGAGCGTTCTGGCGCACTATGGCTGCTGTCGCATCATCCAGGTGGATGCTGCACATTGTGGTGGAGGAGGGGAGTCCCCATTACCTGTAAAGCGCTTTGAGTGGAGTGTCCAGAAAAGCGCTATATAAGTGTAATTATTATTATTATTATTATTATTATAAGTAACAACACTTCTTAGGCCTAAGAGCTCCCCTTCAGCTCTGGATGTGTCTCCACATAACGGTAAGTTCACCAATTAGACCCCGTGCTGTCAGCATCGGATGGTGTTAGAAGGTATTCTTATATTTGCCCCCGCACAACCTGGTTCCTGCCATTGCTATAGTTCTATCATAGCTGTTACATGATATACAAAGGTGGGGTTAGTGGGATGAGGATCAGCTGCTTAACAAAGTGTAAAAGTGAACAAAGTGAGTGAAGAGTGGAGAAACTGTAGGGGCAGGAGAGTAGTCTTTTATTGCAGTGTCCTGTATGATTTGATGGCTATTTTTTTTGGGAAAAGTATCTTCAGCATCTTCAGTTGAACCAGATACCAGAGACAGAAGGCCAGGGAACATATTGTTTCGTATTGTCTTGTGCCATGAAAGTAAAGCACCTAAGCTTACTTTTAGGTCTAATAACTATTTCTTTTTAGTTTCTGCCCTCGGCCGGGTTTTCTTTTATCAAAAACACATTTAATTAAATATCGAAATTATTTAAAATGTCAATTCCATCATACATGATATGACATGTTCATGAATCACCTTAATATAATTGGACTAGGCCATTGGGCCAAAGGACTGAAAAACAGTCCTCCTTGGCTTCCTGGTACATTTACCCTTTTACTTGCATTTTAATGGTCTATATTGTTTGGGGAGCTGTAGGCAGAAATAAGAGGTGTTGTGATTTCTGTTGTCTCGCACACACTCGCACTCTGGAACCTGCGACGCCTTGTTGCATAGCAACTGCAAGCACGTCCATCAGATGAACAGGATAGCCATGCAACTCTGCACTAGTGGTCTTCTGGAACCCTGATCGCTCTTGAAGGGACAGCACTTGCAGCCAGTGCATATTTAACAGCTGCGGGTGTTTGGCGCTTGGCGCTGTTCCTTGATAAGCGGATCCTGCAGCCTGCCGGTGAATTGGGGAGTATGAGCTGCCGCTGGGGAATCTGCATGGGGAATAATGAGCCGGATCGAGGTGAGCAGCATTTCTGCAGACAGAAGTCGCCCGAACAGTTACTCGGCCCTAACTTTCCGAGTGTTCACAATGTCTTTTCATTTGGGTTTTCTGGGGGATTTGCAATGTGTGGTTAAAGAGAAAAGACTCACCTCTCAGAAGAATAGAAACTTCTTTTTTTGTTCCATCTTTCTGGTTAGCTGCAGACCCAGAGACACATGGGGTTTTTTTTTTGTGCCGCGTTAGACAATTTTTGACATTAGTGCTTGTGAGAATGAGGTCAGTGAAAAAAGTAAACCCCCCTCCTCATTTTAGATCTGCTCTAATGTGTCTGATATCACATAAAAAAATGCATAATCTCTTTAAAGAGTTAATTTTAAGATCACATTTCTTGTATTTTCCTTTTTTTTGTTGTTCTGTGCCTTTCGCTTCAGTAGCAGCAGTAGGAGTGCTGGGGAAACGTTAGAATCGTGGCATTTTCAGAGGTTCGTTTCTTTAGCAATTGTTTGCGTGTAGGAGTTAGTACAGTCCCGTGGGATACACTTCTGATTTTACAGGCAGGGAATCTTTCCTTTGGAAGGCAGACAGCTGAAGTCTAAGCATGCGATAATGTGCCGATGAAGGGAACCGTGCGTCTCCGACAGTGTTTTGAGCTGTGCTTTTCTGAACACGGGCAATTTTTGTTTTGTTTGTGGGTGCTCTGAAAAGACTACAGCGGGTTGATAGGTGTCAGAAGAATGACCCCCTCCTGCGTGTAACCCAGTGACGTGCTGCTCGGGGGGGTCTGTACAGAAGAAGCTTGGTTTAATGAAGCAACAGTGGCTGTTTGCGCGATCTGTGTCTGGCGTGTGTGAGCTCCAGGAAGCCGGCCTGCAGGCAGGAGAGGTCAGTGGGAGCCGATGAATTAACACCTTGAAGACAGCAGGCCTCCACCTAAGAGAGGCCTGTCGTGTTTGTGTTGTCACACTCATGACACGTAGAGGCAGTTTTCATGTGGCTCAAGTATAAACAGCTTTACCTTTAATATACTTCACGAAAAGTCACATTTTAGTTCATCCTGGTCTTGTTTATTAGTACTTTATGGTAACCGATAACTCAAAATGTCATTATCTGCAGTTGCTGATCATTTAGGATTTACTTTATACGGTGTGACAGAGGACTGTTGCAGCTGTTTTTTTCTGGAAAAATGTGC